TCTGGCTTTAGTGTTCATTTGCATCTTTGAAAATTTAAGATTATGTCCACTCCATTTTTTTTTTGTTATAATATTTATCTTATTTTGTTGTTTTCATTAATTACATCCCACTTTTCCTTCATTTGTTCATATGGGGTGAAATCTATTATAAAGTTAAATTTTGAAATACACAACAAAATTTTTAAGAATTCCCCATTCCTTGTGAATTGTAAATTCAGTGTTCATGTAATGGTATGTAATGGAAAAGGAATCCATTGTATGCCTTGCTCCTGGTAATGCTAGTTGTTACTAGCCAGATTTAGGCTTTTGAGAGTAAATTCCAAGTGAAATATTATGCTAATACACTCTCTTTTCATCCTTCTAGCTAAACATACATTTCTTCATTCCTAATATTTATCACAACTCATTATGGCAATGTTTAAAAAGCAAAGACCTTTGAATATTTATATTCCCCATAGAAATGAGCAGAGCTGCAGCATATTTTATGTGTTCAGTGCATAGTTGGTGAATGAATTTATCTCTCCAAAGACTCCATACAGATGAATCTGTTTGGGATTTTCACTCAATCTGAGCTCTGACTTTACAAGGTGACTTGAGGTCAGGGGGTGGGGGGTTGTTTCCTAGAAGAAATGATCTTTCAGTGATATTTTGAACATACAAAGAGGAAACTGAAAGCAAACCATGTGGGAGAAGTAGGAGAAAATCATTTAAATAAGTAATGAGAAAGACAACATAGTCGTGAAAAAGTAAAAAAATGTACTGGAGTGAAGCACTATCTAAAAGGGTTAAAACTGGGGCTATTATTTAACAGAAAAAATAACAAGGGACCATGGAAGATGATGTGGCCATGAGCATACAAACTTAAGCAGACACCTGAATACATAATACTTAGCATGCGCTAAACTCATTCACCTGAAGCATCAATACCCTGAATGAATGTTGGGCTAATTGGAACAAACACCCATCCATTTTACTTGAGTAACATGGCATTGATGACACTATATGATTTATGGGTGCTGCCATCTGCACTTTACCACTGTTCTTTTGCTGTATGTTCTATTAATAGATATATTTCTCTGCTGAACTCTCTCACAAATTTACTGGTTTGGGAGTTATTTACCTGGGAAATTCCTGAGAGGATTGTTGATCTATATATTTACATGATAGTTGAATTTTGTGGATGGGGCTTTTTTAGGTGCAAAAATGTAACCCAGAGTATTTGGGAAAATTCCAGATTCCTTTTAATGCTTGTTAAAAAATCAGTGTTGTAGCATAAAATTCTTCAGGTTCCAGTTTGAAACCCAACTTATCCTATAGAGTTATTTAACTTCCTATAATCAACTTCCTATAATATCTACTATTTCTTTAGAGAAGCAATATGAAAAAGCACATTTAATAAATATTTACAAATCATATAGTCTTATAGATTTGAAATGCTTTACATAAAGTGGTTCTCAACTCAATGAAGACTAGCATTTGAAGTATTCCAGTAAAAATGTTGTCTACTGATAGTTTTTTCTTTCTTTCTTTCTTTTTTTTTTTTTTTTGCTGGTTGCATAACTCTAAAACAGCACAGGCAAAATTGTGAGAGGTATTCCTTACATAATGAATTGAACCAAAGATCAGAAGCCAGCTGAACTTTGAACTCCCCTCAAAGCTTTTGGCTTTGAGGATTACTCATGTTTATATACCAACTATGTTTCTAAATTTCATTAGGAAACACATATTTCCAAATGCATACACATGATAGTGGGGTCACTTCATTATATTTTAATAATTTAAATGTAGTAATCCAACATAGTATGAGACTAAATAAGACCCAGTATAAATTTTAATGTGACAGATGATAATTTCACAGGCCAAAACCTTTATATATCATTCTAATTTTGTCAAACATAATAGCAAGGGTAAAGTTACTCATAGCCCTAAAGAGATGTTCAAGGGTAGCAAAGGAAACAAAAGTATGTAAGAACTGCATCATTGTTCAACATCTGTTCCCATCCTTATTCTTAATTTGTTGTACAAACTCAGCCAAGTTATTTAGGTTTCTTCTACTATGACTCTTTCTCCACCAAACAGAAAATTGGCAATTACACTGTGAGCTAGTTCTACACAGTGAGCTCAGTGAGAGAATTTAGGTTAATAAGTAGAATTTTAATCCTAGATAATCCAGTGACCCTCTCTCTGTTTATGGAGATTTTGCATTAGAAGCAGGAAGAGCAATTAACTTTCAAAGGACAGATGGCATTGGATTACAAATAACACCAGACTCCTCTAAATAATGCATGGAGCAAAGGACAGCACTATTTTAACCCCAATAACTCAAAAAAGTCTCTGAAAATCAAGTACCAGGAAAAAAAATACCAGACACTTGTTTCAAATGTATATATTTTAGGAAACCTCTAAATAAAACAGAGATGAGTGTCACTTAGTTTGATGTTATTTATCCAGAGAGAGGCTATGCAGTTTGTCTTTATGGCTGACCCTGATTCTACTGCCTCTGTGTGCTATGTCTTGGCATAGATGAATTCAGCTACTGAGTGCAAACTTCTGATGGGTCTGTTATGCACTGCCCATAAAGGCATGATTTTATGGCTCCGCATGCAAAGACACACAAAGAATCCACCTTTGCCAGGCCTTTGGGGGCCATGGGATTCCCAGGTTGTGCTAGTGGTAAAGAACCCACCTGCCAATGCAAGAGACATAGGAGACACAGGTTTGATCCCTGGGTCAGAAAGATCCCCTGGAGGAGGACATGGCAACCCCTTCCAGTATTCTTGCTTGGAGAATCCCATGGACAGAGGAGGCTGGTGGGCTACAGTCTATAGGGTTGCAGAGAGTCAGACATGACTGAAGCAACTTAGCACACTTGCACAGGGATGCTATAGTGAATAAGAAGTTCCCATTTCACTGCTTTCCTATATATTATTTAAGACACAATACTTATCCTCAGAAGTGGAAAGAAGAGACTAATCCAACAGAAGAATATGAAGTCATCTGAAACAGCAAAAGCAAAATAGACACACAAATCACTGACACTGAGAAAAAGGTCTCTCTATGGCCTAGGGCCTTTAGTGGAATGATACAACAACTTGGGGTTCTCTATAGCTATATTACAGTGAAGATACTTCTCACATCACAGGATTCTTATACAACAGTGCTGTGTTCCCTGAATTTTCATAAGTTTCTGCTGCCACATAAAGTGCTGCTGGCACTGGGTGTCCAACATATTCATTTTATAAATATCCATGGAGAGACTATGTGGCAAGCATAGTGCATATGCCAAGTTTGAAAACAGGAAAGGCAATGATGAATAAATGTGGGTCCCTAAATCACAAGGGAATCACAATTAAGGGAGGAGAGTTAGATAAACAACTGTATAATATGATCTATTCATTACAAGAATATGAAGTAGAAAGGAACTGCAATTATGTGTGGGGATTTATTTGTGGGGCAGATTTATGAAAGCAGTGACATTGAACTGAGCATGGGAAAAAGGTCAGAATTTTGTTAGGTAAATAAAGAGGACATTTCAGGCAAGAGAATGTCACAATTATATTCATGGAAGGAGGACAGCACCAGATGTTTTCAGAGAATAACAAACACCATATTTCATTCTTGCCGGTTAGTAGCAAAAAAAAAAAAAAGAAAGAAAGAAAGAAAGAAAAGGGAGAAGAATGAAATAATGCTGGGGCTACGGTTTGGAGCCAAAGCAGGAAAATTCTTTGAATGTCATGATTAGGGATACATGTTGCACAGAACAGGCGATGGGGAATCAAAATTACAGAATCAATCTTTTTGCTATGAGCATTCAGCCCTAACTCTCATGGTAGAGATGAAAAAAACTAAAGCCAGAGAGGTTTAGTGATTTGCTGATATCACACAAACGATTAACTGAAGAACTAGTGGATGTTTTTCAATTGGGGCCATAATGATCTGCTTTTGCTTCTGGAATGGTAACTTTAAAATATCTTATGAAATGAAGTAGAATAAGGAAAGATTGAAGATGGAAGAAACCAATTAAAGATATCTATCTTGAGACTGAACAAGATATAATGAGAAGCTGAAACAGGATAGATAGGAAAACAGAAGATTAGAGATGATGGTGATGATGGTGATGATGAAGAGAAGAACAGCAAATTTATGTTACATAGTGATGTCTGTAGTAAGGACTACATGAAATACTTTATAAATGTTAACACATTCAGTCATTATCATTACACCCTTATTAGTATCCCATTTTACAGAAAATGAAAAGTAGAAAGATAGTGAAGTTGCTCAGTCGTGTCTGACTATTTGCAACCACATGGACTATAGCCTACCAGGCTCCTCTGTTCATGGGATTCTCCAGGCAAGAATACTGGAGTGGGTTGCCATTTCCGTCCTGACCCAGGGATCAAGCCCGGGTCCCCTGCATTGCAGGCAGATGCTTTACCATTTGAGCCACCAGGGAAGCCACTCCATTTTACAGAAGAAGGAATATAATCACAAGAAATACTTACTGCCAAAATAACAGAATTTCATTGGAAGATCAAGGATTCGAACTTGGCATTCTGGTTCTAAAGTCTAAATTCCTAACTAATGGGTATAGAGTGCCATGGAATAGAGTTTACACAGAGAACAAGAAACTGGTATTGTTGTTGAAAGAGAAAGATGTAAAGCTATGATAAGAAGCTTGAATTTGGAAAAACGGTGTCTTTTTAAAAAAAATGGAAATAGGCATGTCCTTAAAAAGTGTTTTAGATCAGTTGAGAGGTATTAAGAAATATAAGAGTCAAGTCTAATAAAGAGATGTAAAGCTTAGAAAAGTAGATGACATTGGAAGTCGACCTGAGAGAGATAAGAGCTCAAGTTCCAGGCATGAAACAAACTCTCAAGGAAAAAGAAGTGAGAACATTGTGTCATTAAGGAATGAAGGTAAGAGGAGTTCATGAAAGATTCTGAGAGCCTTTCAGAGAACAAACAGGGGAAACCAAGAAATAAAAAAATGGAAATAGGCATGTCCTTAAAAAGTGTTTTAGATCAGTTGAGAGGTATTAAGAAATATAAGAGTCAAGTCTAATAAAGAGATGTAAAGCTTAGAAAAGTAGATGACATTGGAAGTCGACCTTAGAGAGATAAGAGCTCAAGTTCCAGGCATGAAACAAACTCTCAAGGAAAAAGAAGTGAGAACATTGTGTCATTAAGGAATGAAGGTAAGAGGAGTTCATGAAAGATTCTGAGAGCCTTTCAGAGAACAAACAGGGGAAACCAAGAAAGGCCAGGTCATGGAATCCAGAAACTGAGCATTTTGAGAAAGGATTTGTGTTGAGCAGAGACCAATCAAAGAAGAGGATGATGAGAAAATGTGATGTGATTGGAAGGTAGGAGTCACTGATGACTTCTGATGTGGCTGTATAAAACAGCTGTGGGGGCAGAAATCTGATTGCTGTTTAGTCGCTAGGTCATTGACTTGCGACCCCATGGACTATAGCTCACCAGCCTCCTCTGTCAATGGGATTTCCCAGGCAAGAATACTGGAATGGGTTGTCCTTTCCTTCTCCAGAGAATCTTCCCAACTCAAGGACTGAACCTGCACTCCTGTACTGGCAGCTGAATTCTTTACTCCTGAGCCCCCTGGGAAGCCCAATGTTGCTTATCTTTGCAGAAATCTGATTAGAAACCATGTAGAAAGGATGAGGAGACCATGATACTCTGGTGATTCAAGGAAAGAGAGGCATAGGCTGATAACGACAGAGGTAGAGAATCATGTGAAGTTTTTGAAACTGCTGACAGCCAATCATATCTGTAGACAATATATGTCTATATCGGCCATGTGATTTTTTAATCTAAACATTAGTATCATTTCTAAAATAGCCAAGTTGCTGAATGAGTTCAGAGAGGGCCCAATATTTAGGAAATAAAATAACTGTTCAAAAACACAACCAATGAATATAATGGTGATATTAATGCACTGCTTAAGCACAAAGCCTCTGAAGGAATTTTAATTCTGGATCAATCAGTATTGCTTCTGCACATTAGTATGATATCAAGGATAGGGCACAATGCATTTTTTTAAAATAGAACATAAAACTATAAGAAAGAAAAACTAAAACAGCAAATCATTCTACCGCCATCATCAGTAACACCACAACTACCCAGGAAATGGCATCATTTCTTCCTCTCTACTTTCACATTCTTGTACTACTGCACTCACCATCAGTTTTACTACTATTGAATTGTTCCTTTAGCAAGTGTCTTCTTTGTTCCCATTTAGAAACTTAAAGAATGTTTACTAAAGAGAATTGTGCCAAATATTATAGATCTGAAAACATCAGCTCAGTGCTTAGATAGAAAATGTGAAAAGCACAATTCCAATGTTCTGAGGGCTTTTATTTTATAAAAAAAGAATATAGTGTATTGCATTTAGGAACATCAGCTATGGTATTAGAAAGACTTGGGATTAAATCCTACCTCTCTCTTTCCTATATATGTGTCCTTGGCAAAACTGTTTATTTTCAATAAACTCTAGTTTCCCTGTATATGAAATAAGACTAATAGGGTTAATGATAAGACCATTTTATTTCTAATTTGTATACAATATTATTAGGTAGATCATTTGTTTCCCCTTGGTCAATGTCATTGTTTCTAATACAAGAGAACATATAAAGAAATTGAATATAGTTTCTCCATGGTAAAGGAGTATCCATTTTATAGAATATGCTTTAATTTAACCTAATGTTATTTGGAAAAGGTATAATGACATTAGCACATTTAGAACTGTATCAAAGATATTGGGATGAATTCCTAAGTACATAGCATAGTTAGTTACATTTCAACTATACTTTGTTGATCAGTGAAAAGAAAAAGGCATTATAAATACACTGCTTAAATATAAAACATCAAAAGGAGAATTTTTTATGTACAACAATTGGCAAAGTGTAAACACAGAATGTTGATGTTTTTCATTTTTCTCTTAAAACGCTGAACTGAGTTCAGTGCCAGAGGCAGAGTGCCAGACTATCAGCTTTGACAAGCTCAGCAGAGGGAAAGCCTGCCTTCCAAAATAGGAAGGGCAAGAAGCCCAGAAACATACCTCATCCCTGAAACACAAGAACACTTTAAGCACTTGACTCTTCCTTAATACACATCAATTTTTCAGCACACCTAGAGAAATTATTTTAATATCTGAATATGCTTATATGAATCTTATAAATGTGCCTGGTATTGGTTAAATACAAGGCATTAAATCAGTCTGAAGTATCGTTTTAACCCATACTGGGAAAAAACATTCTTCAATGCAACTTTTACTCTTTCACTATTTAATGAAAATTAAGATTTTAATGCATAGTTTTTTGAAATGTACCTTGACTCTGTTGAGTATTATACAATGAAGAGCACGTAAAAACAAATTGTGGGATTTCCTGAAGGATGAGGAGAGATTTGTGATCTCTGCTTATTAATGTCAAAATAGAGTTTGACACAAAGCGAACATGAGAAAGTAAATGTTAGAAAGTTGTCTGTGTGAGTAAAATCATTCTACATTTAATTTGAAAAAAAATTAAGAATAACATCAAAAGACATAAGATAAAACTCAGCTGGGGCTTTACAGTTTTCTGCAATAAAGCCTACTCCTATTAATATACATGTACACAGAAAATTCAAGTATGTTATATATAGTGCATAGTGTTAGTCGCTCAGTCATGCCCAACTCTTTGCGACCCCATGGACTGTAGCTGGCCAGGGTCCTCTGTCCATGGAATTATCCAGGCAAGAATACTGAAGTGGGTCGCCATTTCCTTCTCCAGGGGAACTTCCCAACAGAGGGATCGAACCTGGGTCTCCTGCATTGCCAGCAGATTCTTTACTGTCTGAGCCTCTGGGGAAGCGTCACCCTCCCCGTCACCCCCATAATAACTGAACACTGAGAGCTCAATTAGCAAGACAGACACATTACTTAGTAGAAGAGTCATCCCCTCATAATCACATTATCTCATTTCTCCGTTCTTTCACTAAAGCACAGATACTTTTCAAAGTCATTGGGCTTTCCAAATGAGAAGCAAGAGAAGCCGTCTTTCTCAAGAGGCAGAAATCAGCCAAAATGGGATTCCCAGGGTGAAAAGTTTATTTGCCTCCAACACCTCCTTGATGTCGGCACATGATCTTGCAGTCTGTCACTAGCCCGGCCAATTAAAAAAAGGAGGAGTGGGAGGTAAGAAGAAGAGAGGAAGGGCAGGAAAAGAGTAGGAGGAGAGAAGCATAAGGAAGAGGAGAGAAAAAGCGAGCTCGGCCAACTTCAAATACTCACAGTAAAATGAAAAGTTGAAAGAGACTGAGTCATCCTTAGACCTTGCCTAGTACTTTATCCAACCTTGCCAATGGCTAATATTTATAGAAATGATATAAGATGCTCAAAAGGACATGCTGCCAAGAGACAAAACTGAGCCTCCGTGGAAGCAATCTTTAATCAGCAATTATGCTTGAGAATCCAAAAAAGATGTCACATTAAAGTAACCTAGCTAATAATACAAACTCACTTGATGATTTATAATAGTCCAGTAACAAACAACACCAATTCAATTTATCTAACTGTCTGTGCACCTCCTCAGGGAAGGGAAGACTTATAATTTTGGTAGTCTGATAAATGATTTGTATTTATGTAGTAGCTGTGTTAAGTTATGTATGATTATTTCCCCAGCTTTCCCTATAGGAGTGCCTGAGCAAGTGGAATGCCTAGAATGTTCTTCCCATCTTCCACTGATCTGAAATGTGCCCAGGACCGTAGAGTAATAGATATGGGAACTACTGTAGTAGTACAAATTCTGAAATACTAAATTTGGAACAGTTTATGTTCCAAAAATATTCCTGACTATTCTTAAATACATTGAAAGTGAAAGTCACTCAGTCATGTCCAATTCCTTGCAACCTCATGGACTGACTATACAGTCCATGGAATTCTCCAGGCTAGAATACTGAAGTGAGTAGCCATTCCCTTCTCCAGGGTATCTTCCCAACCCAGGGATCAAACCCAGGTCTCCCACATTGCAGGCAGATTCTTTACTAGCTGAGCTCCCAGGGAATCCTTAAAAACATTTTACACAGAGATATTAGACATTTAAATAAACACATGCTTTATTCATTCAACAGCATCTGTTAAACATCTCTTGGGTGTCAATGAATGTAGCTGCTAGGAACACGTTAATAAAACATGATTCTTGCCTTCAGAGAAGGTAAAAGAAAAAAGGAAACATAATTTATTGAACATCTGTCATGCACCTAATATATGTGATCATGACACTGCTGTGGAGTTTGTACTATTTTCCATATTTTACTGACAAAGAAACTAGATAAGATTCAAGGAGACTAAGTGATTGTTTATGATCAATTACCCAGTTAAGTAGCAAAGTCAATATTTCAACCAAAAGATGTCAAACTGCAAATTCCAAGTTCTCTCCACTATTCTGGCAAGAGCTGAAGCAAGATGGGCAAGTAAACACTTGCAATAAAATATTTAAAGTAGTAGGATGGAAATACGCACATTGTAAAGTAATGGCAGGAGGAGGAAATGGCAACCCACTCCAATATTCTTGCCTGTAGAATCCCATGGACAGAGAAGCCATGGACAGTATACGGGGCCACAAAGTAACACGACTGAGCAACTAAGCACAAAGTAATGTCAAAAAGGAGCAGTAAATTCTAATTGGGGTGAAAGAAAAGGAAAAAACTCTGATGAGTCTTTTCCAAAGAGAGAATATGTGAGCACCGTGTCTAGTTAAAAAACAGTGGTGCTCTAGTCTTTATCAGCTCAGATAGTGCTATGCTCATATTAAACCCTTTGCTGTTCCCAAAATACATGTTTCTGTGAGTTCAGTCTCTTTAGTCGTGCCCAAGTCTTGCGACCCTATGGACTGTATCCTGCCAGGCTCCTCTGACCATGGGGTTCTTCAGGCACAAATACTGGAGTGGGCTGCCATGCCCTCTCCAGGGGATCTTCCTGACCCAGGGATCAAACCCCCATCTCCTGTGTCTCCTGCATTGCAGGTGGATTCTTTACTGCAGGGAAGCCCCCCTGCCACCCTCTCCCACCAAATTATACTTTTCACCTATCCTCTTTCTGTCCATACAGTATAATTTGCTTAAAATAGCTCATCCTTTTTCTGCCTGATGAATTCCTAGAAGGAAATCTAATAGACTTAGAGACATGAAAATGTATAGAAATTTACCCAGTGATCTGTTCATTCAGCAAATATGTGAGTCCCTATTTATATACAAGATACTAAATATTCAGAAAAAAGGGCTAATAAATTTTAACTTGTTGAAAATCTAGTTGGAGAAGTAGAAAATTAACATTGATCATTATAATAAAATATATGCTATGTTAAAAGAAAGCACACAGGATATGACAGAACAGCTGAGGGCAACAAAAGAGGTTTCCCAAAAAACACCACCTTGGCCTGTGTCTTAAAGACTAAGTTGTTTCTGATATACAGTGAAAAAAATCAAAATAAAAAGAGTTAACTTCCTGGTTTGCTTTGTAGTGTTGGAAAATATCATTAAAATCTTGGCAGTATTGCAGTGAATTGTTAATTGTGTAATGAACAAAAAAGCCGATTGAATGAATGAGACCAGCAAAGTTCAGTAACAGTTTCATAGTGCAATTCCTGTCTTCCCTATGCACCAGCCAGGAGAAATTTGACAATGATGTGTTCATTGGTGAAAGTTAATTCTGAATCTAAGACTCTATCAGACTTAATTTACTAACAATATTGATTTTCTGATATAATCTGAAAATGAAATGAAATTTAGTTGATTGGCATCGAAAAGGAGAAATAATCATAACTGAACTGACAAACAATGAATGATAACCCTATTCTGACCTGAAACCTCTGTCTATGTGAAGGACTTTTCTGGAACAGTTCAGCCCAACAAGAGGATGTTTACTGCAGGTTCTATGATACTTTCTCCTTCTCCATCTGTCTCTCCAAACTTTCTCCCTTCCTCCCATCCTCCTCCCCACTTTTCTATAGATAGATACATAGATCGCCTTTTAAAACCCTTACAAGGACATATATGTGTATGTAATAAATATCTATTACATAGGGACTTGACACTTTTTAAGGGGTTAAAAAAATGATCTTATACAAAAATAATTACGGCTAAAATATGGATTAATAAAAATGACAAACAGTATTCTACAAAGCCAATTTTTATACCAATGACAATAATTTCCTTTCAATTTCTCTTGTTACAATCTAATTCTAAGCATGTTAATCCCTGATGTTGCTCATTTCCAAATACCTTCAGGTTTTTACATTTGAATTATAAGAACAAGTCTATAATTCACCTACCTTTGCAGCAAAACTGAGGTTAGCCTTGAAACTTTTCACCTTTATAATAATTTCAGGCTTTTAATTATTATGATCCTAATTCTATTTTTGTTTTTTACAATAATTTCTATACTATTTTTCTGGTGAAGTACATTTCTAAATAATGTGCAAATTCATCTGCAAAAACAGCAGTGTGTTATAGGGACTACTGTAGCAATATTTCAATTATGTTATAAATATCTTCATTTAGTACTGAAATTGCCTCTCTATTCAAGTCTATAGTAACAAAATAACATATAGATATAAATCAGTTACTAAAATTCCAAAACAGCAAGGGAATGAGTAGCACATAAAAGCTAGAAGGGTCTTAAAGTAATAAATAAAAATGCACATTTTGCTTAAAATATCTGGATAATTCCCTCAAATCTGTTTTTTTTTAATTTGCTGATATAGGTCTGCCTCATATCTCTAAGAGAGAAGATTTTCATGAAATTTCAATGATAAAATTCTCATTATTTTCTCTTACTTTTCAGATATTTAAGACATAAAGGTAGACATGAAAACCTTTAATTTTAGGATTTTGGAAGGAAATATTAGCGAAGTCTCCAAATTAAACAAGAGGTTTATTCTCTATTGTTGCATTTTTATAATGCCAACTATTTGTTTATAGAAAAATGTTCAATTATCAACTAGATGTTAAGCTGTCAGTACAGAATTTTAAATCTGGGAAAATTTCCATAAGAAACTGAATCTAAATAAAGTGCTGGTATATGGTTCCTTATAATTTTAGCACCAAAGTATATTATATGCTCCTCGGCATTTTTTACAGGAGTTCGTAGGCCCACGTTCCTACTGATGTTCTCCAGAAATGCAAAGTAAGACATGAGTTGGCAGCTTCCTGGAAAGATGAAAGAGGTTTTAGAAGACAGGCTGTGCACCTGGCCAGGTTCCAGATGAGTGGTTCCCTCCTGAGATGAGGCTGTATCAGCCAGGAAGAGCCTAAAGGCAGTGAAAGGGCATGGCAAGTAAGTGAAATGACAGAAGATTAAGGGAAGACAAAATATGTGATCTTTAATTTTATATCAAAGACTTGTTAATTATGAAAAGTCTGATCCCTTGATTGTGTTTATTGCATTTATGTTCAGAACTGGTCTAAGGGAATTAGAGATGAAAATTCAACGAGCAATACATTTCTTCAACATCCTTTCCTCAAAGAATGAAAAGATATACATTCTGAGAAGCAAGCAAAACTGATTTTTTAAGAGCAGGCCCATGATGCCAGCGAGGAGTTTGAATAGCCACTAAAAAAAATCATTAGCATGTGTATTAGTCAGAGTTCTTCAGAGAAATAGAACATGTATATGTGTGTGTGTGTGTGTGTGTATATATATATATCATGATACACATATATATATCATGAGATGTATATAGCTATAGATATATGTCATAACAGTGTCCCATCACTTCATGATGGTGATCCCATCTTTTCATGGCAAATAGATGTGAAAAAAATGGAAACAGTGACATGCTTTTTTTGGGCTCCAAAATCACTGCAGATAGTGACTACGGCCATGAAATTTAAAAATGCTTGCTTCTTGGAAGAAGACCTATGACAAACCTTGACAGCATATTAACAACCAGAGACCTTACTTTGCTGTCAAAGGTCCATATGGTCAAAGCTATGGTTTTTCCAGTAGTCATCTATGGGTATGAAAGCTGGACTGAGCACCAAATAATTGATGCTTTTGAACTGTGAATGTTGGAGAAGACTCTTGAGAGTGCCTTGGACTGCAAGGAGATCGAACTAGTCCATCCTAAAGGAAATCAGTTCTGAATATTTACTGGAAGGACTGATGCTAAAGCTGAGACTTCAATACTTTGCCCACCTGATGTGAAGGACTGACTCATTAGAAAAGACCCTGGTGCTGGGAAATATTGAAGTCAGGAGGAGAAGGGGAGGACAGAGGATGAGATGGTTGGATGGCATCACCAACTCGATAGACATGATTTGAGCAAGCTCCAGGAGTTGGTAATGTACAGGGAAGGAAGCCTGGAGTGCTTCAGTCCATGGAGTGGCAAAGAATCAGACACAAATGAGTGACTAATGAGTTGTTATATCATATATATAAATATATATATTTGGAGTAAATATAATTATATATGGAGTTGGCTCAAGCAATTATGGAGGCTTTCAAGTCCCAAGATCTGCAATCAGGAATCTGGAGACTCAAGAGAGATGATCGTGTAGTTCCCAAATCTATAGGTCTGCAGGCTTGAGACCCAGAAAGAGCCAATGTTTCAGTCTGAGTTGGAAGGCAGGGCTAATCAAGTCAGGCAGGGGGATATTCCTTCTTATTCACCTGAGATTCAGTCTTCTTGGTCTTTTCAGACCATTAAGTGATTGGATGAGACCCACCCACATTAGTATTAGTGCCTTGGACTTGCCAGGTGGCTCAGTAGTAAAGTGTTCAGTTGCTCAGTCCTGTCTGACTCTTTCAGATCCCATGGAATGTAGCCTGCCAGGCTCCACTCTCCATGGAATTTTCCAGGCAAGAATACTGAAGTGGGTTTTCATTTTCTCCTCCAGGGAATCTTCTCAACCTAGGGATCAAACCTGCATCACTTGTGTTCCCTGAGTATCCTGCATTGGCAGGTGGATTCTTTACCACAGCACCACCTGGAAAGCCCAGGGAAGCAATGCAATAGATGCTGGTTTTATCCCTGGGTTAGGGAGAACCCCTGAAGAAGGAAATGGCAACCCTCTCCAGTATTCTTGTCCAATCTCATTGAAAGAGAAGCCTGGTGACTTACAGTCCCCAAGTTTGCAAAGAGTCTAACACAATTTAGCAACTAAACAATACCACCCACATCAGGGAGGGGAATCTTTGCTTTATTCAGTCTACTGCTAAATATTAATCTTGTCTAAAAATACCCTCACAGACATACTAAGGACACCTGGCTGTTCAAACATTGGCCCTGTCAACTCAGCATATAAAATTAACCATTACAGTATAGTAAGATACAGGAGGAAAAATAAGACAGCATTTCATCTATTCAAATCTTTTTTTAATTTCTGAAGTTTGAGCCACCAGTATATCAAATCATTTGTCCAAGACTGTAAAGATCATTAGTACTGAAGCTCAAATTAGATCACAGATGCCTCATCTCATAATTGTAGAAATTACTACTTTTCAAAAAAAGTGCATTTGAAACTTGAAAGTGTGACCTTTTACCTTTTCTTTTTTTCTCTCTCTTTCATTTTTGATTTGTCTTCATTCAATGCAGGACTACTTTCTCTTCTCACAATTTCAATTTTAATCTGTTCTCCAAACCCACACTTACCACATTTTAACACTTAAGGGAAAAAAACAAAAACAAAAAAAACTGTTGACAAGAAATCTCATTAGACTTTTCCCCAACATCTCTTCTCACTAAAAAAAAGATAAAGTGTAGTCTAACAATGGAGCGGCGGCTGCGGGGCACTGGGCTTACTTTGAGGAGATACCCCACATCCAAGGGCAAAGGAGAAGCCCCAGCAAGATGGTAGGAGGGGTGAAACTGTATTTAGAATCAAGCCCCATACCTGCCAGAGATGCAAAGAGGGCTCAAACAAATGTTGTGTGCACCAGGACAGAGACCCCACAGAGACTGAGACAGAACTGTTTGAGGGTCTCATGTGGAGGGACAGGTCAGCAGTGGACTTTTCAGGGGCAGGGGCTCTGGGTGCAGTAGACCTGGGTTTGGCATAAGCCCTCTTGGAGGAGGCCACCATTAACCCCACCATAGAGCCCCCAGCACTTACACAGGGCTGGGGAAAAAGACTCTTTGAGAGCACAAACAAAACTTTGTGCTCACTAGGACCCAGGAGAAAGGAGCAGTGACCTGAAAAGAGGGTGAATCAGACTTGCCCATAAGTGTGCAGGAGTCTCCAGCAGAGGCATGGGTCAAATAGCTGTGAAAAGAAGAGAAGCTAAAGGCAAAAGAGAAAAGGAAAGATATACCCATTTGAATGCAGAGTTCCAAAGAACAGCAAGTGAGATAAGAAAGCCTTCTTCAGCGATCAATGCAAAGAAATACAGGAAAACAAGAGAATGGGGAAAACTAGAGATCTCTTCAAGAAAATTAGAGAACCAAGGGAACATTTCATGCAAAGATGGGCACAATAAAGGACAGAAATGGTATGGACCTAACAGAAGCAGATATTAAGATGTGGCAAGAATACACAGAAGAACTATACAAAAAAGATCTTCATGACCGAGAAAACACAATGGTGTGATCACTCACCTAGAGCCAGACATCCTGGAATGTGAAGTTAAGTGGGCCTTAGGAAGCATGACTACCAACAGAGATAGTGGGGGTGATGGATTTCCAGCTGAGCTATTTCAAATCCTAAAAGATGATGCTGTGAAAGCACTGTGCTCAATATGCCAGGAAATTTGGAAAACTCAGCAGTGGCCACAGGACTGGAAAAGATCAGTTTTCATTTCAATCCCAAAGAAAGGCAATGCTAAAGAATGCTCAAACTACCACACAATTACACTCATCTCCCACACTAGCAAAGTAATTAAAAATTCTCCAAAGCCAGACTTCAACAGTACGTGAACCATGAACTTCCAGATGTTAAAGCTGGATTTAGAAGAGGCAGAGGAACCAGAGATGAAATTGCCAACATCCATTGGATCATTGAAAAATGAAAGAGTTCCAGAAAAGCAGCTACTTCTGCTTTGTTGACTATGCCAAAGTTTTTGGCTGTGTGGATCACAAGATATTGAAAATTCTAAAAGAGATGGGAATAACAGATCATCTGACCTGCCTCCTGAGAAATATGAATGCAGGTCAAGAAGCAACAGTTAGAACTGGACATGGAACAACAGACTGGTTTCAAATAGAAAAGGAGTACGTCAAGGCTGTGTATTGTCACCCTGCTTTTTTAATTTATATGCAGAATAAATCATTAGAAACACTGGGCTGGAGGAAGCACAAGCTGGAATCAAGATTTCAAGGAGAAATATCAATAACCTCAGACATGCAGANAATGGACATGAGTTTGAGTAAGCTCTGGGAGTTGGTGATGGACAGGGAAGCCTGGCGTCCTGCCGTCCATGGGGTCACAAAGAGTTGGACATGACTGAGTGACTGCACTACACTGAACTGATTCTAACACTGAAAATAACAAATGCTGAATTTAGGCTGAGGTAGTATCTTATTCCAAAGAGTGCAAGTACTTCACGGGAGGCAGAAAACCAATTTCAATATTTATCTTTTACAGATAAACAACAGGTAATGCAAACCTACCTGAACAAATAGCTCTATTCAAGCCTCAATCCTCTATCTTAGCTGGATGATAACAGTAAGTTATAGAACAAGCAGTGTAGTTCTTGCACAGAGACTTGAAGGAAAAGCCCATAACTCAGAGTGTACATACTGCTTTGAAATGTTTCCCTGTGCTTTCACTGTTCTCCTTTCTGCTGTCTACAGAGACCACAATCAGGTTCTAAAACTGTCACCAAAATGACCAGCAGGCCTATAAGATCCTGGTGCAATCTGGACCCGGAATCTGCTTCCTCTTTCTCTTTGCCACAACTAGTATTGATGATAGCATATAAGAATAGAAAAAAGTAACACATCTTTAACACAATAACCCCCACCCCATAAATCACCTTATGATCATCCTGGGATGATCATCTATGGGTTTCTGGTTCAGCATCTATTCTTACTTACTTCACGGAAGCATGAAAGTTATCAGATCTTAGGCTAAAATAAAATGCAAACAGGATGCTCAGAAGAGGGAGGATTTTTTTTGTTTTTGTTTTTGTTTGTTTGTTTGTTTTTTTGCTGCTTCTTGTTTGTTCTTTTTGAAGATTCAGAGGAAACCACAGCCAAGTTCCTTACCTGGATAGAAACATTTTCAACAGACCCCTTTCACATGGTCTAGGAGGCTCTTCATTAACTGGTCAACACTTCCTCCAGCCCCATCTGCTAGGACCCCAGTTGCTCCCCCCTCCAGGCCGACCATACTGGCCTT